CTCCCTCTTTCTATTTATATATATGTAAAGTCATGGCCAAAAAAAGGAACACTGCCAAATCGCTTGGTAATAATATTATTCTTTCAATTGCAGCAGACCAACCCAGGTGACGAAGGCTGGGGTAATACAGGGGGGCGGAGAAGCCAGTCAAGTTCCCTGTGCAAACGGCAGGCAGCACCAGCTCCAATGGCCCGTCCTCAAAAGCCTATTGCCTGTGTTTCCACCAATTTGGTACAACACACACAGGTCACCTTTGGAAAAGAAGATTAAAAAACAAAACTAGTTAAGGCTTACCTCTGAACCCCACTGACTGCTAAACCCTGCTTTCTCTTACTCATACAGGATCCATCATCAGAGAAGCAACAGCATAAAGCCAAGGAAGAGGAAGCCTCACGACTACCAGCCTCAGCTTCCAGTGTGTCAGTGGAGGGAGATGTTATGTTCTTAATTACATTTTGAAACAACTGCTGCACGTCACCTTGCAGTTCGGAGTCCCCAGTCTATTGGAAGAAAAGCTCTCTAACAGAATCCGCAGCAGCTGCTTCTCTTCGTCCTTCACAGGAGACGGCACAGATCCCTCCGCCAAGTTTTCTACCGATTTGGAGAAGAGGCCTTTGAGAACTTCATGATTTTGCTGAACAAGACAAGAAAATTTTGTTTTGCTAAAAAAAAATATGTATTAAAAGCACTTTATTCCAACCTAATAGATATTTTATAGGCATTACCTTCACTCTGATCTCTGCGTCATTAAGGGGTAGAGAGAGAATTTTATCAAGTTCATTTGAAAATTCAACAAAACAAGTAAGACAACTTTTACCCTATCCCAGCTATCAGAGAACTTGAAAAACAGAAACTTTAAAAAAAAAAAAAAAACTTTTTACACAAAAATTTTGTCTTAACACTGGGAATATAAACATAATTCCCTGAAGTATTTTCGCATATTAGTTACAGCACTGAAGGAGCTCCAGCCAACACTGTCTGGTCTGTCTGCCTGTCCTGATGCCCTACATCCTGCACCCCAGAAGAAATTATGTAAGTGAATAAAGACCTTCAACACCAGCCCCCAAAGTGGCCTCTAATCATCTCAACAGATGCAGAAAAACCATTCAATAAAATTCAATATCCCTTTGGAATAAAAATTCTCAATGACTACTGTGAGATTTCAGATCCCACAATATCTGGGATACGCAATCAACTAGAAATAGAAGGAACATACCTCAACTTAATAAATGCTACATATGACATGCCCAGAACCAGCAGCACATTGAAAGGGGAAAAATTATAAGTTTTTTCTCTAAGAACTGGAACAAGGCAAAAATGCCACCACTCTCACCACTCTACTCAACATAGTTCTGGTCCTTGCCAGAGCAATCAAGCAAGAGAAAGAAACAAAAGGGTATCCAAACTGGAAAAGAGGAAGCCAAACTATCCCTCTTTGCAGATGACATGATATTAAATATAGAAAATTCTAAGGACTCAACGAAAAAAACTTATAAAGTCTTACAAATAAATAAATTCAGTAAACTTACAGGATATACAGATTAATACACAAAAAATCAATAATGTTTCTAACAAAGAAATTAGGAAAGCAATCCCATGTAAAATAGCCATTAAAAACTCTTAGGAATAATATAAACCAAGGATGTGAAAGACATCAACAAGAAAAAGTAAAAATACTAATGAAAAAACTGAAGAGAACACAAACAAATGAAAAAACATCCCATGTTCATGGACTGGAAGAACTGATATTGTTAAAATGACCATGCTAGCCATAGTAACCTACGGATTTAATGCAATTCTAATCCAAACACCACTGACATTATTCATGGAAGTAGAATAAAAATCCTAAAATTCACATGTAAACATAAACTTCACATTAACCAAAGCAAAAGAACAAAGCAGGAAGCATCTCACACACACACACCCGATTTCAAGATTTACTACAAAGCCACAGTAACCAAAACAGCATGGTATTGGTGTGAAAACAGGCATGTATACCAATGGACAGAACAGAGAACATGGAAATAAATCCACATATTTATAGTCAACTGACTTTTAACAAAGGCACCAAGAACATACCATGGGGAAAGCACAGGCTCTTTAGGATACGGCACTGGGGCACTGGGGTCCAGACACAGAGGAGTGAAACTAGAGCCCTACATCTTACCACATAAAAAATCAACTAAAAATGAATTAAAGACTTAAATATAAGACCTCAAACTATAAAACTACTGAAGAAAACATAGGGGAAATGCTTTAAGAGAATGGTCTGAGCAAAGATTTTACAGCTAAGACTTCAAAAGCACAGGCAACAAAAACAGACCTACGGGACTATATTAAACTAATCTTCACAGAATCAACAGAGAACAGACAACCATAAAATGGAAGAAAATGTTTTCAAACCACTTATTCAGCAAAAGACTTATATCCAAAATATACAAGAAACTCCAAAAACAGCAATAAAAAACAAATAATCCAATTAAAAAGTGGGCAAATGATCTGAATAGACATTTCTCAAAAGAAGATATATAAACAGTAAGATAAATATGAAAAAAATGCTCAACATTACTAATATTCAGGGAAATGCAAGTTAAAACCATAATGAATTACCAACACAAATAGGAAAAGAAATAACCACAATGAAATATCTTACTCCAGTTAGAATGGCTATTATCAAAAAGACTAGAAGTAAATGCCAGAGAAGATACTGAGGAAAGGAAACTCTCGTACACTGTTGGTGGGAATGTCGGGACAGGCCATGTGGAAAACAACATGAGGGTTTCTATAAAAACTACAAACAGAATGGCCATATGGCCCAGCCACCCACTGCCGGTATTTGCCCAAAGGAAAGGAAATTAGTCAGCTCCACCACTGTTTTATTGCAGCATATTCACGACAACTGGGATATGCAATCGACCTAAAAGTCCATCAAGAGATGGACTGGACAGGATTAGGAGCAAGATGGCAGCCGAGTAACAGCTTCCTTGTAACTGGGCATGGTGAGTCCAGGGAGAGGAGACTTCAGGCATCTCTGGCTGGTGGGATCTGCCCAGAAACATCCCTTTGGAAACAGGGAGTCAGCAAGGGACTTCTGGACCCCATAAAGGACACAAGCAGTGGAGAACTGGCAAGTGTTTGTGTGTGTTCGGTCTAATCCCGCCGGCAGCTGTTAAGTACAGCAGCTGCAAGATTGCAAACTGGAAAGGCCTTACCTGTGAGTTGTTTGGTTTTTTTTTTATTTGGACTTGGCACTCATTTGAACTACCTTGGGAGAACTTGGGCAAGAGTGAGGAGGACTTTAAGCATTGTCTAGAGCCCCAAACTGAGCTGCGGAGCCAGATGGAGCTAACAGTGTTTGGCTGTGGGCCATGCGGAGCCATTGTGGGAGATCTGCCCTGGCAAGCTCCGCCCTCAGGGTCACAGAGCAAGGATCAGGCAGGAGCAAGTAATCTAGTGACTGAGCAGCATAAAGGCGGGGACTGAGACGCCTTACAGCCTTGGCTCTCGGGGGCATAGTGTGAGATCAGTTTTGGCACACTGGGTAAGTGGACAGCCACTTCAGGAGTGATCCCAGCGACAAGTGCTTTCCCGGGAAAGCTTTTGCTTAGCTCAGTTTGACAGTTTAAAGTGCCTTTTAAGCGGACTGTGTCAGATTTAGGCTCTCCACCCTGTGTGGTTTGAGAAATCAGCAGAGGCCTCCAGTCTCCTTCTCAAACAGCTATATCAGCATTGTGATTAACATCTCATACCCCAGAAGATCACCTGCTGCCCAGACAACGTTCAGCAAGATACATATACTACTTTGGTATTTTTTTGTTTGTTTTTTGGTGGGGTTTTTTTGTTTGTTTGTTTTAATTTGAACATTTTCCCTCTAGATTTTTTCTTTCTTCATTTTTCTAGTTTAAATATAATTTTCCATTGTTGCCTTTTTTAACAATTATAACTTCATTTCTACTAGTGTTTCTACCCCTATTATCTGAGGTTTTTTGCCCAATTTTATTCCGCCAAGTTTTCTGTTTGCTTGTTTTGGTTTGATTTATAGCATTTTTGTCTTTTCTCACTACTTGGTAGAGGTGGGGTACTGTGCCCAAACAGGCTAGCAAAGATCTGCTGACCGCAAGGGAACAACCCAACCTGGCACCCCTAGAGGTTGGGGTCTTTTAAGGTTGAATCAAAGTACACTACTGTTCACCTATATTGCTCCTGTCTCCATCTTTCTGTGCCTCTCTTCTTTTTGTTAACATTCCCTTTTATCTACCCCCTCTCCTTTCTCTCTCTTTTTTTTTTCGTTTTTTTTCCTTCTTTTTTCTCTTCCTGCTCTTCAGTCTTCTCATCCTTCTGGTCCTATACCAAAAGGACTCATCAAAACCCTAATCCAGAGGCACAGTAACTTAAAGAGCAAGAGGAAGTAAAAGGAAAATTAGGGCAAGGAAGCAGATAAAAGTAATCATTCATGAGGAGGAACCAGCAGAAAAATCCTGGCAACATGAAAAACCAGTCCAGAGCAACCCACCCAAGGGAACATAAGGCAGCTACTGCAGAGGATTCCACCTATAAAGGAATGTTAGAAATGACAGAAAGGGAATTTAGGATACAGATGATGAAAACAATAAAGGAAATGATGGAAGCAATGAATGAAACTGCTGATAAAGTGGAAAATAACCAAAAGGAAATCCAAAAACAAAATCAAGTAAGAGATGAACAATATGAAAAATACAGAAAGGATACAGCACAGCTGAAGCAACTGAAGCAGTCAATTAAGGAATTTAAAGATGCAATAGAAAGTATCAACAACAGATTAGACCATGCAGAAGAAAGAACCTCAGAGGTAGAGGACAAAGCTCTTGAGATAACTCTGTTAGTTAAAGAGGCAGAAAAGAAGAGAGAGAAACCAGAACATTCACTGACAGAATCATAGGACTTTATGAAGTGTTCAAACATACTAGTTATAGGTATCCCAGGAGAGGAAGAAGAATGCCCCAGAGGAATGGAAGCCATACTTGAAAATATTATAAATGAAATACCACCAAAGATTCTGACACACTCCTCTCAGAGGGATATCGGACCCCAGGTTGCCTCACTTCTAACAGAGCTTCTCCAAGACACATTATGATGAACCTGTCCAAAGTCAAGACAGAAGAAAAGATTCTTCAAGCTGCCAGTAGTAAACACCAGTTGACCTACAGGGGCAAATCCATCAGGGTGACTGTAGACTTCCCTAATGAAACTTTCCAAGCCAGAAGACAATGGTCATCTACCTTTAATCTACTTAAACACAACAATTTCCAGCCCAGAATTCTATATCCTGCTAAGCTAAGCTTTAAAATCAATGGAGAAATCAAATCATTTACTGATATACAAACTTTGAGGAAATTCGCTACAATAAGACTAACGCTACAGGAAATACTTCAACCCCTTCTACACACTGACCATCACAATGGATCAACAGCAAAGTAAGAACTCAGAAATCAAAGGACAGAACCCAACTTCCACCATGATACAAAAGATAAAACCAATGGACTCTCACAAAATAAGATGAATAGAACACTACCACACTTATCAATTATCTCAATAAATGTCAATGGCTTGAATTCCCAACTGAAGAGGCATATTGGCTGACTAGATTAAAAAACA